GAGCGGAAAGATAAACGGGAGTGAACAGAAAGTTGGTCATGAGTGATTTGATAATTTTAAAAAATTATTAAACGATATATTTATAAAATAACTAAATTATTTTTATTATTATAAACTAATGTTATTATAAATTTTATTATGAATATTAATAACATTATTATTTATTATTATAACAATCTTTTCAATTGTTATATTCCAAAATACAAAATAACATTGTTTTGCATTAATTATAAGTTAATAATTACAAAGTTAATTGTTTGAATTAAAAAAAATCTCAGTTTTATAATTTTATCTCTATATGTATAATAAAAACAAGGACAAGAGAGTCAAATGTGTGATGTTACCTGTTTTTCTCTTTGTTTTTTCTTCTCATGAGAAGGATTAATGAGTTGAACAACTCTCACTCTTTTTTGCGTGCATTTCTGCAAAAAATGGCAGATTTAAATGCTCACTATCCATGTCTTTTAATACGTGTAAGCAGTAAATTAGCGAAACACATACTAAAACTATTTAACTAAATAATATATTTAAAAAAAATAATTCTCAATAAATGACATACGAGAAAAGTAATATGAATGATAAAATCTTCAAATATTACATGTATAAATTTAAAATGTGTAAGCTTAATTTAATTACAGTTCAAATATTTTTAGCAATTAGATTGGGCTATACGCATTATTAAATTTTGGGTGTTGCTCCCTCCACCACCACACCTTTCTTCCTCCACCTCCCCTTTACTATTTTGCCCCTAAATAAAATTTTATTTTTAGGGTTAATTTTTTTAATTTTACCCATTCACAACCTATTCCACTAATAACTTATTTTAGTTCCTCCTACATGAGTAAAATATTTTTCTTTTATTTTAACATTATTTTTCTTCATCTCTTTCTTTTGTCGCGGTGAGATACTACAAGTTGTAAAGGTTGGTGGTAGTGGAAAGAATTATCAAGTAGTCTACCTCTCATGGTGCAGTGTCGCTCTCGTGATGCAGTGTCACTCTCATGGTGCAGTGTGTGGAGTGGTGCAGTGCGTGTGTTGCTTCCTTAAGGTGTGTTTTCGAATAAACCTTCAAATAAAACCCTAAAATAAAAAACGTAACTTTTAAACGGTGACATCCTTCAACGGATGTCAACATCCGTTTAAGGAAAGAACGGATGTCAACATCCGCTTAAGGAAAAAAACGAATGTCAACATCCGTTTAAGGAAAAAAGGGATGTCGACATCCGTTTTTTCCTTAAACGGATGTTGACATCCGTTTTTTTCCTTAAACGGATGTTGACATCCGTTCTTTCCTTAAACGGATGTTGACATCCGTTCTTTCCATAAACGGATGTTGACATCAGTTCTTTCCTTAAACGGACTTCGAGTTACGTTTTTAATTTTAGGATTTATTTTATTAGTTTATTCTTTATTTTGGAAATATTTTAATAATTTAATTTAAATGTTTTGATTTATTATTTTTTAATATATTTTTAATGTATTTTAATAATGTAAGGAAAATGAAGAAGAAAGAATCGTATGAGGAGAAGTGAAACGGAGAAGACAAATGGAGTTGTAAAGTAAAACAGAAGACAAATTGTTAAACGAAATTAAGAGATGGAAAGATTGAGTGCAGGGAGTAAAGTAGGAGAACTAGGTTTGGAATAAATTAAAATAATAAAAATAAAAAATTTTAATTTGAGGATATAATTGGAATTAAAAAAAATTGGGGAGGTGGAGGGAGAAAGGTGTGGTGGTGGAGGGAGCAACACCCTTAAATTTTTTATCAGTTTAAGTGGTAACTCATCTAAAAAAATTATTAAAAAAGTTATGCAAAATTATATATGTTTCGGGTGTAAGGATTGAGATAACCGTCTAAAGTTTTATAGGTTGTCAGGTCCAAATACTAAGTTCAACGGTTCATCTTTATACTACCATTCGTTTGTGTTGTTCGATTGTAAAAAGAAAAATTCAAAGTGAGTCATTTACTAAAAAAAAAGAGATGATAAATAGGGTTAGTCAACACAAAGTTATGTCCTAAGAAATTCAATAGTAATCTTAGTATTTCAGATTATTATAAAATTGTATGTAGAAATAAAAGTTGAAGAAAATAATAATGTGAAAAGGGGACTAATCATATAGACGATATTTAAAAGAGTGAAAATAAATGATAAAATAAACAAATTAGTTATCCAGTTTATTCACAATTAATTAGTTATCAAATTATTATTATTCATCTAAGTTTCAAACAGACATCAATCAATTGTTAGCAAAAAGAAAAGATGAACATATTGCTTCAATAAAAAGTTTTGGTGATGATGATGATACATGGAGAAGTGTTGAAAACCTAAAGAATGTTTTAATTCAAGAGATACATTGAAGATTAAATAATTTAGTTGTTAAAGTCTTGTAATCTATGCATTGTATTTAAATTAGTAGATCAAGAGTTAATAGGAAGAACTAGTAAAACACTCAGGAAATAATCGAATCACATTGGTAATCACAAAGATAAAATGATTTTTTAAATAGTTTCTATAATAATTTATTATCACTTATGGTAATCGATAATTGATTATCACAATGGTAGTTGCAAAAAATTCTTCAGTTTTCTGACCTAATTTTCAAAATAAGAGTCTATATATATTTTACTTAAATGTAATTTTGAAACAACTTTTTCCTCAAGAGTTATATGCTAGATAAACTCTGTGTTTGTGAAAAGAGGATTTTGAAAAAACCAGTATGTATAGAGCAAGAACTTTCATTAAGTGTTTTGTTGTTAGGAAAATTGTTCATCCTTTGTGTGTCAAAAGATGTGTTGTTATTTTTTGTGTGTCGAGGGAGGTATTATTCATGATTTGTTTGTCAAGGGATGTGTTATTCATCATTTATGTGTCGAAGGAGGTGTTTTTTAACTTTAACTTTATTCTTAATTATTTTATTATTTAGTTAATCCCTCTTTAAAAAGATTAACAATTGAACGTAAGTCTTTTGATCAGGTATAAAATATTTGTATAATTTTTTTCTTTTCCTATACTATTTATTTTTATTTTCTTTATTTATAAGAATCAATTTTAGTTATAAATCAATTTATAGAAAGGAAATTTTTTTAAAAGACAATTTTTATTTCAGAAAACAATTCATCTTTTCTCTTAGTTTTTGTCCACTTACGAACATTTTGTTGGGTAATTCTAACATCAATTAATTGAACATCTCTCACGTTTCAAGCATCTATATTTAATATTTATATTCTTTTACCTTTTAAATTAAGTAAATAAAATATTATTAAAATTAAGTAAACTAACAAGAAATCCAATTAAAGTCTTGCATTGAATTAACAACAAGCTTTCAAAGACAAACCCCTGTAACAAAAATTATAATTAAAAAAGAAACAATAAAGACAACCCTTTTTACAAAAGCTAGAATTCAAAAAGAAATAATAATATAAACACAATCTTGATTAATTTATTAAATATTTCTTGCTTTCCAAGCGTATACATTCAACGTTCTTTTATCTCTTGAATTAAACGAATAACAAATTGTTAGAATTAAACAAACTAGTTAGAATTTTAATAAAAGATTAGAACTAAATTATCAACAGACATTCAAAGAGAATTCTAATAGCAAAAAATTTAATTCAAAAGGAACAAACGGTGTAAATAAACAACTCTGTTACAGCATTAGACAAATTAATTTAGACTATTTATCTAAATAGAAGTCAACATAATAGATGATAAATAGTCTAAGGTGTCATATGAGAACACTTGAAAACTAATGTTTAATAAAAATTTCAACAGAGTCTCAGTTAACCTCATTTGAATAAATTCGAGATAAATCAATAAAATGAATCTCAATTATAATATATGATGTACATATACAATAAGTGTATCGGATACAACATGAATATAACGCCAATACATTATTTTAAAAATAATATGATACAATATCTACGTATTAAAAAATGTATAATAATTTTAAAAAATGTAATAAATATATAATTGTCAAAAATCTAAATTAAAAACATGTATTAAAGTTGTCAACATAAAAAATTATAAACTATTGTCATCATAAAAATATTATTGCTTTATAAATTAAAAACTTTATTAATAAGTGTTAGTAAAATATTCTAAAATATCAGACATAAATACGTATTAGACATAAATATATTATCTAAATTAAAGTATCGATGTACTATGTTATAATTAAAAGAATATTATATTTTCTAAGTGTAATTAAAAGATGCTTAACATGAACTTTTATGAAAAAAAAAGTCCTATGAAAATGAATCTATATATAAATTGACGAGACATACTTAAAAAATTAAATTCCCTTTCACAATATAAAAATAAGTCGCAAATTATGAGTTGAATTAACATAATTAAATAAAAATAAGAAATTAAAAAAATAAAGCCCATATACACAGAAGAATTAAAACTTAGATAATATATATTGTTGAAAAGTTAGTTGGTTTATGAAGTTTTCTTAAACATTTTATAAAGATTGGTGATCAAAAAACATTTTATAATAGTTATTTTATTATATTGGATGACCGATTAGTTAAAATATCATACTTTGAATTTATATTTTATATTTTACCTTGTTAGTTTGAGTATAGTATAGTATTAGTAAAATTAAATTGTGACACAGCTGTTTAAAAAAACATTGAAACATAACTCAATTTTATATGTACGACAAATAAAGTCTGTTTTGTGATTCTCTTTCTATCAGTAATGATCATTCAACTATTGACCCCAATAAAAACTTATTAAATAAATAGATAAAAAACATATATATAAACTTTATCTTCCTCAAACCTTTCTACAAATAATCAGCAGAAGAACCTCAAATCCCTGTCCGTAGTTCTAAGTGGCACCATTATCCGGCGGCACAATCACCAGTTGCAGTTGCGTCTTGGATTCTCATGCTTTATTTAATAACTAATAATAATAAAAATAATAATAATAATAATGTAGCAGTACTAGTTTTTTACTTCACCATCATTTTTACAACATCAAAGTAGAAGAACACCGTCTACTTGTCTTACTCTACATTCTCTTCTGTATTAAAAAAAGAAAAAACAGTGCTTTAAGATCACCATGACTTAACTCAAAACCTTAGTAATTACCCTATTTTCAATTGAATGGAACGACACCATCTTAAAGAACCCAACAAAAAGCACAACGTTGGTGCCTTGTTTTGGTGGTTAACAGTGTCCATGATCGCATGTCTCCTACTAGTTGCTGCTGTTGTTTATGTAGTAACCAAGTTTGAGGTTGGTCACTCTGATTCAGCTCAACTCACTTCTCAAACCACCAAAGTTGTTCAGAAATACGCCTCTGCTCTTCAATTGGCTCTGCAATTTTTCGACGTCCAGAAATGTAATGTAACCAATGCATATAATATAACACGGACTTTATATTGTTAAGATTATTCATTACTATGTTTCGCAAATACCCAAGTTGATTTTTTGTTGAAAAAAATGTGCTTGTAGCGGGTAAGGTTGAGAATCAGAGGATTTCGTGGCGAGGGGATTCTGGGCTTCGAGATGGGAGTGAAGCGGATTTGGATTTGTCGAAAGGAATGTATGATGCGGGTGACCACATGAAATTTGGGTTCCCCATGGCTTTCACTGCAACTGTGTTGTCTTGGGCGATTCTTGAATACGGAGATCGCATGGACGCGGTGAAGCAGCTACACTATGCACTTGACTCTTTAAAGTGGATCACTGATTATCTTGTTAATGCACACCCTTTTCCAGAAGTGCTTTACATTCAGGTCAACTATTTATTTCCCAAGTTTGTTTCTTATCAAACACTATAAAGATTTGTTTTTCTTTTCATTTTTACTCTGGTAAGTAAGCTGAATGAAACACGCTTTTGTTTTGTTGATTGAAGGTGGGGGATCCTGAGGTGGATCATAATTGCTGGGAAAGGCCTGAGGACATGGATGAAGAAAGGCCACTCACTCAAGTTAACTCATCTTTTCCAGGAACAGAAGTTGCGGCTGAAACTGCAGCTGCATTGGCCTCAGCATCTCTTGTTTTTAAGCAGATTGACTTCACTTATTCTAGGATTCTCCTTGGACATGCTCAACAGCTGTTTATTTTTGCTGATACATATAGAGTTTCCTACAGTGTCAGCATCCCTCAAGTGCGGAATTACTACAACTCATCTGGTTTTGGGGATGAACTCTTGTGGGCAGGTGTATGGCTCTATCATGCAACTAAGGATCCTTCATATCTCAATTATGTCACAGAGCAGAATGAAAAATCATTTGGCGGTTTAGGAATCGTATCGTGGTTTAGCTGGGATGATAAACATGCTGCAACTCAGGTACCAATTATGATGCAGTGTTTATAGGCTTCAGTAACTATCATTCTCTCGGAAAGTCATTCTAACCATGTTTCTCAATTGATTGGTAGTGTTAAAACTTCTTCTACCCTAAAAGTATGTAGAAATCAAACACTTTTTTATTCACTTTTCCTTTGTATCTCTCAGATGAATTGGGCATATTAATCTTTGTGATATATATTCTTCATGCATTTTGTGATTATGAACTAGGTTCTTTTGTCCAGAATAAGTTTCTTTGGGGCAAAAAACATCCCAGATGCGGAGAACCTTGACCTTCAGATGTACAGAGAAAGTGTTGAAATCCTCATCTGCACGCTTCTACCTGATTCACCAACAGCCACCACCAACAGAACTGAAAGTACGATTGATTTCTTCCCTCTAGCCTTTGCATTACTTCTGTCTGCCTATTCTTTATCGTTAATTCAGACTAAAGGGTACCTAGGATTTCATGTTAATAAGGCAAAACGGCAAAGAACATATCAAATATTAATCTCCCCATTGGATGAACCAACTATCATCATGTAACAGGTGGACTGATATGGCTGGTGCCATGGAACTCTTTGCAAAATTCAGTGGCTTCTGCATTCTTAACTATTCTATACAGTGACTACATGCTCACATCTCAAACCGAAACACTGTACTGTAGTGGGAAATTGTATAAACCAGTAGATCTTCGCAAATTTGCCATTTCTCAGGTATGCAAGTCTTGCAAAATGAGAGAAACATCTTCCATCCTTTTAATCATCACTGTATTTAGCTTCAAAATTTCTCACCTATAATCAGTATAGGATGAATTAATGTGACTCTATTTTGCATTTGTGGTTGAAAAATTTCAGGCAGATTATGTGTTGGGTGAAAATCCTATAAATATGAGTTATCTTGTGGGCTATGGAAGTCACAACCCCAATTACATACATCACAGAGGATCTTCTATTCCAGTTAATGCTACAACTGGTTGCAAAGATGGATTCAAGTGGTTTCACTCAACTTACCCCAATCCTAATATAGCATTTGGAGCATTAGTTGGTGGTCCTTTCCTTAATGAGACATACAATGATTTCAGAAACAACTCAATGCAAGCTGAGCCAACAACATATAACAGTGCTCTCTTTGTTGCTCTCTTGTCTGGTTTAGTTGCAAGTTCCACTGTACCATTCTCCTTCTTCTAAACTTGTATCATCCAGATATGTGAGAATGAAGAATATATAGTGTGAATAAGTTTCACATTAAATACTTATAAAGAGTTGATGATCAGGTAAAAAGTTGGAATTTCTGTCTATCCCTTATGTAAATTTTTAGAAAACCTTTCAAACAGTTTTGCTTTATTTGGCATCAACACCTACCTTCGTAACGAAGAGCTTCTCTACTTTATTAAGAGAAGCAACATAATGCGTTATGTACAGAGCTTCTAGATTCCGTTTCTTAACCTTGTGAATAGACTCTTTCTGTTTGGTGTTTTCCTTTATCTTCAATAATGACCAATAATGCAGCAACAGCTTCTGCTTTTCTTTATCTTGCTTCGCTAGTTCATTACAACATTTATTAATTATTTGATATTTTCAAACATCTGTGATTTATAACGAATGACAACGTAATATTAATCATTCATTTTTATTAATAATCGAAACTTATTACTTTACTTTCTAGGCCGAGTTACTTGACCAATTCATAAATTTTGGTGTTTTAGTTGAATCTCAATAATGATGTATATTATTATAGTCAATGGAATGTGTATTTCTTTTCTTTTCATTAAATAAATATAAGTCAACATATTATTTTTTTTAATCTTGAGTATTTAATATATTATATTTTTTAAATAAATACTTAATAAATTATAAAATTTTGGTTTAGGTATGTGTATTTATTTATTTATTGTAGAATTACTATTCTATTATCATCATTACATTGAACATATATTAGTTAATTACATATAATATGTTCAAGTAGTATTTGTTCTTACATTATTAAGAATATTCTTGATCAATTGTCTTTTTATAAGCTAGTTTTTTTATTCATTTTCCTAAACTTTATCTAATCGGTTGATTATTTGTAAAAAAAATTATAACTCTCAAGTAAGTGATTGGTATTGTTAGACGTATAGTTAATGCAGGTAGTTCAAAAATGTTTAATGTCTTATATACACATATTTATATTGTCCTTAATGGACTTTTATCTTTAAAAGAGGTCTAAATATAGTCCACTTGATTCCTAACTATGTTTATGGTGCTAATATGCTAATCAGGCATTAATGTTCGCTTAGTGTGGATCGATCTATCTATGTGCTATATCAATAGGTATGATTAGGTCCTCCAACATGTCTAACTTCAAGAAAGTTTTTTATTATAATATGTTGACTGAGGTTTCTTGGTCTACCAATGCCTTTTCCACACAAAAGTCTACTAGTTCAACATATATAACCATTGGGTATTCTTAGTTTGCATCAGGTTCTTTAAAATCGTCGTTTGTGAAAGTTATTGCTAACATGCTTCATCTAGATTTTTCGACCATATGAACTAATCAGAGGGCATGATTGTGCCTTTTCCATGCTGATGTCGTGTGATCACCTTTGGCAAAGTTTTCTGATATGAAGTGAATTGTTCCTCTCAATGGTCTTTCTCTCCTCTTACTCTTACTTTGACTACTACGCTTGGTCTGAGGTCGTTCATTCATGTTACTATCCCTCGGTACCTTGTGACTCTCTTTGCAACCATTGTGGGTTTCTTGGCATTTCCATAAATTTTTTTAAGAGTCCAGCTTGAATCAGTTCTTCAATATTTTCTTTGAGCACAACACATTCCTTTATGTTATGTTCCAAATTGTGGTACCGACAGTGTTTTCTCCTATCAGTGTTTATAAGTGTCCTAGATTTCCTTAGAAGGGGTAGGAGTTCAACATTGAGCGCTTCATCCAAGACACATGATTAGGTTGTATTGAGAAGGGTGTAATTTGTGAATGCAAACCTCTCATGGGATCCTTAGGTAGTCGAGCTTCTAAGTGTGATCTCCTTGCTTCTTCTCCTTTCGTTTTAGTATTTTTCATATTAGTTGCTCCTATCAATTGCATGTATTTAGCAGCCCGAGTTCTGAGGTCATTCAGGTTCAATACATATTTTTTGCAAAAGCTATTTGAGAATGAGTCCGACTTCAGTGCTGTTACAATCTGTTGTATAGTTATTTCGGAACTCAAGTTTCTAATTACCTCCAAAAAGTACTCAAACACTCAGGTAAGTATTCGGTATAGTTAGACATAATTACTGTAGGTAGTTCAAAAGTGTTTAATGACCTACTTACACATCATATTTATAGTGTCTTGAATGATATTTTACTTTTAGAAGAGACCTAATTACAATCCACTAAGTTTGAAACTATGTTTATGATACTAATATGAATCACACATTAATATTCACTTAGTATAACTAATTGATCTATGTGCTATACTGATTAATACATGCAATATCCAATCTCCTTACATAATATATCATCACCGACAAACATAATTATAAAAAAAAAGTTAAAATATCTTAAAAAAATTAATTTATACTTCCCATTAACTACATAGTATATAAAAATATAGTAGTTAATGTTGTTACTATAATCTCATGCTTTTTACTCAAATAAATTTATGTTACGTTTGAAAACAATAATACGAAGAAAGTTTTATGACTATTCATCAGCATTAATTGCAAAAAATAGTTTTATGTGATTATAGAAAAAGTTAAGTTATTTGAAATAAATAAATAAATAAATTGATACTTTATATCATACTATAGAAAAATGTAATAATTAATGTTCTTAATACAATGTCATGCTTTTTACTAAAATGAATTTGTATGGATTTTAACAACAATAACTAGATGAAAGTTTTATGACCATTCATTAACATTAATTGCATAATAGTTTTGTGTTGTGATGTGAACTTAAATTATATTCTCATTATTATTGAGAGATTAAGTCGTTACAAAATCAATTGAACTTTACATCACATAATATAGAAAAATATAATAACCAATGTTCTTAACATAATTTCATGATTTTTTTACTGAAATAAATTTGTATTAATTTTGAAAGCAATATTTAGAAGAAAGTTTTATGATTATTCATTAACATTAATTGCAAAAAAAAAAGTTTTATACTGTGATATAAATCTAAATCATTCTCATCATCAAGGTTGGAGAGTTTACAAACTCATGAAACTTCTATAAACTTGTAAACTTATTTCGTAAACCTGTAAAAGTTTATCTAATATGAAAATAATGTTAAAAAATATTAATGTCATTTATGTATAACATAGAGCGCCTAATACAATAATAATCTATCATTTCTATTTTATATTAAAAAGAAAATTAGTAAATCACAACAATAAAATATTATATTACGTTAATGTTACATAATATTAAATTATATAAATAACTAAATCATATATAAATTCATAAGAACATAAGTTGTTAATATGAAAATGATTCAAGAGTTAATTTTAAATAATATGTCTATTGAGATATTATAAAAGTAAGAGAAAATTAACATTTAATTTCAAACTCGTTAATTCATTACTGATATGTGAGTTCATTCGAGTTAATCACAAATTTAAATAGTTTATTAAAAAAGTAGTTCGACAGTGAATGATCTAATTTTTTTTTTTATAACTAACAAAAAACTTAAATGTTAGTTCCAAAGAATTAGGAACTTCTTGGTGGTAAATTTTATGGATCCACGTGGAATATTCTGAATTTCCGACAAATTTTTGTGGATTAATTTGATGTTGAAGAAAATAAAATAAAAAATAAAAATAAAAATAAAATAAGAGAGGGTAAAGGGGAAAGTGAGAAATGGCCACAATGAATAAAGCACATGCTGCTTATCTCAGAAATGGGTTTTCGTTGCCTTTCTTTTCTTTTTCTTCACAACGAAGAGAAAGAAAGATAGCAACATAGAGCCCTAACACCTTCATCCTCATCATCTTCTTCTTCTTCCTTTTACTCGCTTTTCATCTTACCAGGTTTTCTCTCTCTGTCTGATTGTTGTTATCTTTCACTAGATTCCTCTTCATTTCCTTTTCTTCTGTTTTTCTATCTTCCTTTGTTCCGTATCCAAACTCTCCAATTTTTTCCCTTTTCCTCCGTTTGGTGGGTTTTCGGTTTCACCTTTTCCTATCCAACTTTCGCTTCAATTTCGATTCACCCCTTCTTCTCTGAGATCACTTTAAATTATTGAAGAAAAAAGAAATTGGGGAATCTCAGTTAATACTGTTTAGGTTTGTTTTAGTTCTGTTTGTCGAGATAACCGTTTGATGCATTGCTTTGATCTTTAACTGCTAGATGCAATAAGTTTAAGCATGAGGGCTTTTGTTATCTACAAAGATAATAACAACAATTAAGAATAACTGTTGAAGAAAGCAAAGTCCGAAGAATTATAGCCTATAAAACAATTGCTGTTTGTGTCGGTTGCTTGTTTTTGCAGTCGCATTGTTTATGTATTTTCAATTTTTGAATATATACACAGCGGTTACCCATTTGCATTAAATTTCCTTTGTGTTGAACCTAGTATCAAACAGAGACTGTACTTTGTTAAACCTTATGGGTTTGTGTTTTTATAGAGTAGGTAGTTGGCTTGCCAATAGTCCCTGCAGGATAATGGCTTCGGCATGGTTTGAATCAATTCTGTATTAGGTTTTGGTTAGAAGTCCTGGTCATTGCGTGAGATTTGAAATCTGGAAACATGAACTATGCCGTGCTATTTGTCTAATATGGGTGCTGTACTTATTCCTTGTTAGAATAGGTGGATGTTATAAATTTCGTAGTTTCTGGTTTCAAAAGGCTTCAGGGCCCCAAAATATGTTATGTACGAATTATTGTTTGTAAAAGTCATCATGTTTGTATTTACGTAGCTGCTATGACGCTTTTACGTAGTGGAATTTCTTGGATGCATGTTTGTCCACTATTGCGGTGGATATTGTTGTCATTGTTCTGGCACGTGTTCTGCTTCCTCTTGTCATCTCTATCAAGTTTCTGGACAATTGAGCTTTTGAGTTAATATTATGCCGGTTTTAATGCATTTTATTTTATTGTTTTGTATACAACATATTTTTTATGCATAATAATGATATGTCACCATTTAACATCTGCTATTTCCCCATGATACTATCTGGTATATTATATAGCGGATTATTAGCTTTTCTCCATTTTCTGTATTCCACCAGTGATAACACTGCTGC